GGCTGGTGCCGCTGCCCTCCGGACAAACGGAGCAGCGCCCCGAAACCTCGTCACGGCCTCGGCACTTGAGGGGAGCAGCGAGGCCGAGCCGTGGGAAGGGAATAATGCAGGGAGATCGATGCTCAGTTTTTTACACTTGCATGGTGTGGCTGCTGTGGTGTGTGGTTTGGGTAGGGGGAAGGAGGGGTTTGGACACAAATCAGTGGGTTTGTGGTCATGTCAGGAGTTTGTGGTCCTGTCAGGGGTTTGTTGTCCTGTCAGGGGTTCGTTGTCCTGTCAGGAGTTTGTGGCCCTGTCAGGGGTTCGTTGTCCTGTCAGGAGTTCAGTGAGCTGTCAGGGCAGCGTGGGGACCAAGGTGTGTTCTGCATGGCCCCTCACCCCAGCTGCTCCCCACAGGTGCCTCTATGCTCTGAAGGTGGGCTGGAGGGTGTGCTGGGCCAGGGCAGAGGAGGAGGATGAGCAGAGACACATAGCCTTCATCTCGCACGACATCAGCATGCTGCGTCTGTTTGAGACCTTCCTGGAGAACACGCCGCAGCTCACCCTGCTGCTCTACATCGTCCTGCGGACCAACAAGGCTGAGATTTCCCAAGGTGAGGGGACTGGAGCCAAGGGAGGGGGATGTGGGGGTGCAGGCTTGGATGGGGCAGATCAGAGAGGCTGTCCAGGGGCTGGAGGACCCAGCAAGACACTTGCAGCGTCATTCTGCTCCTGTGTCACTCCTTCCTTTGATGTGTCATGCTACAGGGTGGACCCCTGTCCTGCATTCATGCCCCAACAGACCATGCTGGGCTTGGAGTGGGGGGGTTGAAGCTGTGGGACCACTGTGGTCATTCTGTTATCTGCCCCAGGAGAGGCTGAGGGTCAGGTGAGAAATCAGGCACCTTCTGGGGAGTAGGGAGGTGCTGGTGGTGGTGTGGGTGAAGCACACACTGAGCAGGGGCTGTGGTGCCTTTCCCAGGGTAGGGAGCAGGTGTCACTGCAGGGAAATGGGGAGCCCAACAATGTAGGAGCCAGCACTCACCTGCCTGTGTGGGCTGAGGGCTTCCATGCCTGGGAGATGGGCTATGCAGAGCTGTTCAATCCCAGCATTTCTTCCTCTTTTTCTGAGCAAGGCCAGGCACCAGCCTCCTTGTCCTCAGGGAGGGCAGAATGCCAGGGGACAAATGCAGGTGCTGGTGCTCTGACCCTGACTGCAGCTGCTTTGTGAGCTGGGGGAAACTCATTTTAGCAGAGGTGGGCAGGGAGAGGTTTGAGCCAGGCTGGGCCACCCCTTGGTCCCCCCTCAGCATTTTCACTGTGGTGGTGTTCACAGTGGTCCCAGAACAAAGGAGGAGACAAGAATCTTGACTCCATGTTTCAGAAGGCTGATTTATTATTTTATGATCTATTTTATATTAAAAGAAAAGGATATACTAAAACTATACTAAAAGAATAGAAGAAAGGATTTCATCAGAAGGGGAGGGAAGAGGAAGGGAAGGGAAGAGAAGGGAGTGGCGGAAGGAAGGAAGGAAGTGGCGGAAGGAAGGAAAGGAAGGAAAGGAAGGAAGGAAAGAAGGAAAGAAAGTGGCGGAAGGAATCTTGTGACTGACCAGAGAGTCCAAGACAGCTGGACTTTGATTGGCCATTAATTAAAAACAGCCACATGAGACCAATCAAAGATGCCCCNCCACCGGCACCGGCCCGAGTGTGACCCTTCCTCCTCCGCCGCAGGTCACCCTGGTGGGCATCGTGCGACACGCCGAGAAGGCGCCCACCAACATCCTCTACAAGGTGGACGACATGACAGCAGCCCCGATGGACGTCAGGCAGTGGGTTGATACTGATGTAAGCATTGGATTTGCTGTCAGCAGGCTTCTTTAGCAGCTTTGGGGAGCAGTGGGGGGAGAAAAGCTTTTTCTTTTTCTCCCCACTTTGGGGAAAGTGGGTGGGGAATTATACAGTGTCTGAACTGGAAGGAACCTGTAAGGATCATTGATCAGCTCAGTTCTCAACTCCCTACTTCTCAGGAAGCTTTTTGAGTATAGAAGGTGTGGCTTTTCTGGAAAGTATTTCAGGGATAACATGTCCCTGAAATCCAAAGGAGATGCTGCTGTAGCAGAGGTCCCTGGCGGTGTATATGACTGACTGCCTGTTTAGTATAGCTGAGTTCAGTTAAACAGTTTTGGGAGGGTAATCAGGCAGGAAGTTCAGCTGATTTACTGCAAGTTTAGCGTGATGTAGGAATGCACATTGTTTGTGCTTGCTTGAGATGAGCCAGCTTTGCTAAGCTGCTTATTGTGATAATTGAGAAATGGAAACAGCAAACCTGTTTTTCCCTCTCTGTTAGGAGGCAGGAGGTGAGAATGTTGTGGTGCCTCCAGGAACTTATGTTAAAGTAGCTGGTCACCTTCGGTCCTTCCAGGTAAGGTTGTGTTACCTGTGTGTGAGTCTTGTAGGACTCTCAGCACTTCACGTAGCACATGTGGTGTAAATACTCAGATAATGGTGTATGTGCATTTAGGCAAGGTGCATTTAATTCCCAGCTGGTTAGAGGGGTGATTCTGTCTCCATTGTCTTTTAAAATCACATCCCTCCCCCATTGCTTGCTTGCTCCCAGTGGGATGGGGGGAATCAGAAGGGTCAAAGTGAAAAAAGCCGTGAGTTCAGATAAAAGCAGTGTAATAAGTAAAGCAAAACAAGGATTTCTCTCCACACTTCCCATGGGCAGGCAGGTGTGCCTCTTCCTCCTTCTTTGATCAGTTTTATAACTGAACATGACACTGGCTGCTCTGGGTTCTCCTGTGGGGCATGGGGGTCCCAGCTGTTTCCTCTCACAGCTCCTTGTCCCCTCCCAGTTTAATACTGGTGGAGCTGTGTGAGGAGCAGGAAGCCCTTGGCCCTGTGCAATGACTAAAAACCAGCCCATGCTACTGTACCCCAGCCAAAAGCAGCTCAAGATGTAGGTCAGAAGGTTTCGGATGAGCTGCATGCACAGAAGTTCTCTCCCCACTGCTGTCCAACACTCCTGGAGGAAATGGCTGGGTTGGCTGTTAGGCATCTTCATGTTCCTGAGCTGTAAATTGTTTTCTTTGTTTTGTGTTTGTTTGTTGTTTTTTTCCTCTGAAAGAATAAGAAGAGCTTGGTAGCATTTAAGATCATGCCTCTGGAAAATATGAATGAGTTCACCACACACATACTGGAAATTGTCAATGCACACATGATCCTCAGAAAAAATCTCATGGTATGTACAAAGACCCTGATTCCATCGTGACCCTTCCTGGGTGAGTGGTGATCTCCCAAAGAGGGACCTTTCACTGGGAAAATTCCTTCATTGTGGGGTGGAGAGTTTAAAGCTGGGCAACACTGAAGGTGTAACAGGAGTCCTGGCTTCCTTGGAGGGAGATTGTATTGCAATCTGCTTCCATAAGAAGCTATTTTTACTTACTGTGAGTCTTTAACTCTGCAGGCTTGGGCAGCTTGGCTAACCACAGCACTTTTATTCTCCTAATTCCAGTCAGCATCAAGAGGGCCACAGTCATTCTCCTCCACTGGCATCAGCGACATGGGGGGCTATGGAGGGGGTGGCAGCCTGCCAGTGAACGGGCTCACAGCACACCAGAGCCAGGTGGGTGCCAGCAGCTCCTCTGGGAGCACAGCACTGCCACCAGAGCTCCTCTGATGGGAGCTGCTGTGCTTCTTGCTCATCCAGGTGCTGAACTTGATCAAAAGCTGCCATGTCCCAGAGGGGATGAGTCTGCAAGATTTGAAGCTCCAGCTCCATGGTTTGAGTATGTCAACCATCAAGTAAGTGTGTGTAGAAATGAAGGATGCTGTGGGAATCCAGGCAGGCTTTCCAGAGGCAGAGAGAACAGTGGACAAACCCTGACACTCACCTGTGAGTCAGGGTGGGTAATTCAGGTGGTCCCAGCAGCACAGGAGCCAGAGCTTTTGAAAGATTCACTGCCCTGAGTGAGCTGTTGCCAGTTGCTTTGCTCCTTGTTCTCAAAACAAGCTGTTTATGTACTGCAGTCCCTCATTAGCATTTCTCCTGTTCAAGGTCTGCCTTGCTCTTTGCACACTGATAAAAATCTAGGAATAGTTTGTTTTATTCTACTTCACTGTCTCTTAAAGCATCTTCTTGAGACTTCCAAAAGTTGTCATTACCTTCCATGACCTTTTTATGTTCTGTCCCCTCTGGAGCAGGGGACAGAGCAGCACCCCTGTTCATTACCCTTCTGGTTGGTACTGCTTAGGAAGAGCAGAGAGGTGACTCAAGCAGAGTCTGAGCTTCAGGGGGAGCACATTGCCTTAGCTTTGGAGAAACTTCCTCTGTCACTTACACTGCCCACAGGACAGAGACACCAAGAGCTTCCCTGGGCAGCTGCCAGGAGGGAACTGTGGGGATGGGGTCTGTAAATGGGAATTCTGGAAATCAGAAAGGTGGTGACTTACCTCCCTTTGCTAACTAATTGCAAATTAGTTACTAGCTGTGGGGTTTTTCTTCAAGGCAAGCTGTGGAGTTCCTCAGCAGCGAGGGACACATCTACTCCACGGTGGATGATGATCACTACAAGTCAACAGATGCTGAGTAAAGTTCCTTCCATCTGCCTTTAGTTCCAAGCAAATGTTTGTCCATATTTCAAGATACCTTGCTGAGCTGTTACATGGAAGGTGACTTTGCTCTTTGTGGGAAGTCCTGGTTACTGGGTGAATGCCAGCTCCTTGGAATTCAAGGATGAGCAGGACGTGTGTGATTCTGGTAATTGGACCTGATTCTATGCTGTGACCATGTGACTGAAAGCATAAACAGACATGGGAAAACTGAACTCAAAGCTTCAGAGCTTTCACTTTGTTTTGGCTCCTTAGAGAGTGCCTGGTAGAAAGAAGAGCCTCTTTATTATTTGTCTTTTATTTTTAGAGCTGTTTCTCCTAACTCAGCTTCCATTCCATTTTCTTCACAAAGTGGGTAGCCAAGAGTAATCTTCCACTGATGGACAGCAATCATGAGAAGATGTTTTTATTTTTTAGTTTGTGCACTTAAATCTATATTTGTACTAGAGCTGATCTTGTTAACTAGAGCTTTTGAACTTTTCCAATAAAATGTTAACTTGGGGCACTTTGCATCGTGTGTGATTGTAGAGGCTTCTCTGCCTTGAAGAAGAAAACTGCTTGACAAAAGCTGGGGATAAAAGCACAGCTCATACTTTCAGTTTAACTATTCTTATTTTTTCCTTCGCTTTTTACTTTGAAGGTTCAAACTCAAGTGAATGTCTGGCTAGTAAGAAATTAAATAACTGTACTACTGAAGAAAAGAACAGTGTTCCAAATAGAGCCAGAACCATTTCTGCCACCAGAACAGCTGCTCTGCTGTTCAGTGCTGTGCTGACTTGTCCTTCCACTGCAGCTTGATAAATGCCCAGGGACACGGAGCCTGCTGGAATAGCAGTGTGTGCACATAGGGCACAGTTCAGAGGGCTCACAGTCTGGTGAGCTTTGGGTGTTTAGGTAGGGCAGAGTTTCTGTTGCGTAGGTCTCACAAAGGGACTGGCAGAGGCAGTTTCTTGAGGCCACATTCATGGTGCTGGCAGGGAGACCCAGGGGCTTTGCTCTGCTCTGCCAGGAGTTCATTTTGGGGCCCATCCCAGTGTCCTGCTTGGGTTCAGTGGCCCAGCTGCAGCCCGTGGTGCACCTCTGTGGGTGAATCACACAGCAGGTGTGTAACAGGTGAACGTTTGGCTACGGCATTCAGCATACCTTGAAGCCAAAAGTACTGTAATTTCCTTTTTGTAGGAGGTGTGCCGGTTAGGAAGAAAATCCCTGAGGGATTTTGGAAGTGAAGATGAATGGAATTGCT